ATAGTGGAGGAAAGCACTTAATATAGGGAAAGGTGTGGGAATCTGTAAGGCCATGTACTCTGTAACCTTGCCTGGCTGCCTGTTAATGAGGTTGTAAAGACCTAGCAACTGATTCTGGATCAGGTCTCCCTCCCAAAAAAAGAGCCGTAATGAAGGAACTGGGATGGTTGGATAGTGTCCATGTGGGATTGTGTGTGTCCAGCTACAGGACGGGGCAGAGGGCATTAGAAGCAGGGGACAGAGTGTGCAAGCGGGGTCTGTGTGGGGAGCTCAGAAAGCCCCAGAAAAGCTGCTCAGTAGACTGCTGTTCCCGACTGCGGCTTTGCCAGCCGGCTGAACAGATTGCTGGTGCATAAGAGCAGCGTGCAGCAAGAGGGAAGGGACTGAAAAGGCACAGAGTGGTGGATGCCGCGAGTCGGGTGTGAGAGCTCGCTGATTTATTTTGTATTTATAAATAAAATGTTAAGCTTCTGATCAGGGCTATATAAAACAGGGAAAAAATCAGATTTCTGCCTAACCAGCTCATTATCCACATAGCCGGACAGCACAAGTGATTGTAGGAAATGTTTTTCATAACCTTTCTCTGCCCCAGTCCCTGCGCTTTCTGAAGGGACAGAATTAACATGCAGTAAAGAGCGCGAGCTCTGCACATTGATCTCAGTGCTGTCAAAATGCAACCTTTTGGAGGATTACCCACGTGAACCGGTCCTCCAACCCGTAATACTGAGATGGCAAAAACAAGAAGAAGGGAAAAGTGTGGGCAAGCCATTTCAGGACAGAACAGTTTGGGAAGGTTTTCATTCCCCTGCCCCACCGCTAGTAAGGAACAAATGCTGGAACAAAAGGGTTAAACGCAAGTTGTGTTCAGATAAACAAACCTATGGGAGATAAAGCAGTTGCCATGCCAGCTGACACTGAAAGCAGCCAGCACAAATTTGGCACGAAGGAGATGATCTAAAAGGCTGCGCTGAGCTCCGAGGCTCATCGTACACAAGCTGTTTCTTGGCTTTAGCTTTGCCAGTCCTGTTCACTTTAAATCAAAAGCAACAATTGCTTGCATCAAATTTCTCATCTGTTGGAGGATAGTGAGGAGGGAGTTATGTTTTTTGGGATTCAGCAAGTGAAAACCAGGGAAGAAAGTCTGATAAAAGTGCAAGAAAGGGGCATGAAAGTTCTGGTCTCTGCCACTAACTCTATGGGAAGCCTTTGGCAAGTCCTTTGATTATTTTTTTTCTTCTCTTTCACCTCTTCATGTAGAAATTAGAAACAAGAAATGTTTTCTGTGTTTCATTTCTCTAAACAGTCTTTGGAACTGACAGTTCAGCATTTTGATGGATCTTCTCTAGGTTCTCTAAGTAGTACTGCAAATGACATCTAATTAATAATGCCAGTTAACGTACTAATGGAAGATTTGCTTTACTTCCCAAAGAGTGACACTTACCTATTCAGTCTGGTTAAATAGTGAATAACACTATCTGTCAATATCCTGGATAAACTGTCCTTTGTCAAAGATAACATTAGCTTCCTCAGGAGTTTATTGACTGATGTGAGCAATTATTGATTTAATAAATGGTGTTCTAAGACACTGTTTAATAGCTGCTGTTCGCTCCACCTTTCCGTACTTTGGGCTGTGCTGTTATTTAACTACACGTGAGGAGCACAGGTGTCAGTCCTGTAAGTCATGAATGTAATCCTTGAATTAAACCCCTGAAAAATGGGTTTCCAGTCAAAATGCAGATGAAAAACATATTTTATTTCTTCTTCATTTCTGGGAGGGTAATGTATTTAATCTAGCCTATTGTGTAATCATCTTGATGGGCTTTCTCTGCTTCATCAGTGAAGTTTAATGAACCAGCTTCTCATTGTTTATGTCCTAAGAGTAAGGCAACGAGAGGGTTCCTGTGAAAGCCCATGCAGAGAGGTGCCCTATAATTTTGCCCATTACATGACTGACACTAGAGTAAATTTGCTGAGGTCTCTGTAGAATCAGAAAGGCACTCGGGTGAAAAAAAAAAACCCAAAACACAAAAATACAGTTTCAGGGTAATACTCTGAAAAATGAGAGGGACTGCCCTACGCCTGGTCTTCCTACAACCCCAGCTCAAATGCAAGTTTGGGCTTTGTCTCTATATATGTAGACAGATTAAATGTTAAGAACATAAATAATCCAAATGAACTCCACCGCACTCTCATATATGTGTGTAAACATAGCCATTGGCACAGTCATCTACCATGTAAACATCCATATTCTGGTGCATGATACATAAACATATGGTGTCGAGAGAAGGGCAGCAGCAGCACGCAGAAATTTAATGCCAGATGGTGGCTGTATGTTCCCTCATTGTGTGTTTGTATATACATATATATTAAAAATAAATATATACACGCATACACATGCAAATATAATTGTATATGTGTGTATGTTATCCCAACACTCATTAGACAAACTTTGACTTGTAGTTGTAATTCAGGGCATAACGTTCAGTGTAAATCTAATTGACTTTCCAGTAGCATAACTTATTACTGAAAATTAGGTTGATGGATCAAGTCTAAAAGCCTGTATAGTAAAAGGTTGTACTGGAACTTTCTTCAGTACATTAGCAAGGACTCAGATATAGAAAAATATGTTAATAAAAGGCAAGTTTGCTCCTACAGCAGTGAGAAAATTAACGTTGAAAATGTGAATCCCTTCATAATGTCCAAACACAGATAAAATGCAGTAATAATTTGGGTGTATAAAAAAAATTATTAATATAAAAAGCCTCTTCATTTCACAAAACTACATTAAAATAATGTTTTAACTGTTATTACGGATGTCATGAAATCCAAAATGAACTAAAATCTAATATTTTAACATCAGTGTGACTAACTACCACTCATATTTAGAGTGAAATAATGGTAATTTTTATTTCCTCCTTTTTAGATTATAGGAAAAAAATAGCTAAATATAAAACATTTAAATTTTTTTTAAAAAGATCTTTTTCTGAGCCATCAGTGTAATATGCCAGCATGCCAGGAACATCAGACTTCAATCTACTTAATATTGGCCTGGTCTTCCTCCAACAAGAATTCTGGAAAGTCCGTAATATTACATTTCAGGATTTAAGACACTCTATACAACTGATAAAGAAAAACTGGGTTTTTATGAGTCAAAGAGGTTTTTTGAGTTTTTGTTCTTACCCTGCTTCTGTGGGTCATTGTAAGATACAGGCTATGGAGTGGGGTGACATGATGTAAGGAACTAATTCCATTATGAGCTACTGATTTAAGTGGTAGCAAGCTATGAAAGACACTATGAAAGACAGCGATCAGGGAACAGTGGCTTGCTCTTCAATCCTCTGGCTAATAAGACCACAGGTAAAAAATTCCTACAGGATATCCTATAGTTCGTATTCTGAATTCAGATTTTAGCAACAGAGGCATCTACAGCTGAGCTATAAATAAAATAATAAACCTGTTAATAAACTTGGGGTTTGGTAGACTCAGAAGAGAAAGAGATCTGTCCAAAATATTCTGCAGAGGCATCCCTGTTATTCTGCCAAGAATCTGAAGCACAGCCATAGCGCTTCTGCAGCATCTGGTAATTTAGTCTGATGCAGTAGGTTGAACAAGCTTTGTTGGAAAATGTTTGCTCAGAGCAGTGGTGACTTCTCTTCAGAATTAGTACACCTACCCAATATTTGCAAACATCCAAGAATTTTCATAGGTGAAAGCTTGAAAGCAGCTGGAGTTGGGCAGAGAAGCCAGGGGACCAAGGGTGTTCTCATCATGGCTTTCAGTATTAACCCTTCAAAGTAACCAGTGGGTCGAATGTGTAGGTTTGATGTTGAATACATCCATTCAAAGACACAGTACACCCTACCTGATGCCTCAGCTCAGTTTTCTAGGCTTCCATCATCATCTTCACATTAAATCCTGTGTTTTCTATCTTAGAATAACAAAAAAAAAAAGTCTGATTTATTTTAGAGAGAGGGAAATCAATGAATTTAAAATTATTACATGATAGGGAATTTGAAAAAGCATAAAATATAAAATGCATTTTATGCTGTGCTGGAAGGATTCTCTTTACTATTTTGTTTCCTTAGATGTTGTCTTTCTCCTTTCCCATAGGATCAAAATCAATCTTTGTTTGGCAAATACCTCTTCCAATCCCTAGTTAAGATTTGACCATACGTTCAGGGTTAAAGAAAAACAACCTGAAGCCCTGTGGTTAGCCCAGGGGATACAGAACTAAGCTAACCTAAACATTGAACCTGCCATAGCAGGAGTGTTGGAAATATTTTTTTCACTAGTCGGTGGGCCACTGGCAGAGCTATTTGCAGAGAGTTTTGTCGGGCTCCTCGGTGTCTTTCTCTGCACGATACAGCAGCACCACTCGGTGGCTTAAGGCATTTTAAGCATAATCTTTATGCATTCCCCAACACCGAGCTTGAGCCAAAATCCACTGAGGATTCGGGAAATCTGACTTCAGTGCAATTCGGTTTAAGTACTTAGTAGGGTGGGTGGGAGGTAGGTTTGAGATAATCCCAACGTTTTATTTTGGAAGGATGAAAGAAAGGAAAAGGAACATTTTTAACGCAAACTCAAACTTTTATGATTCGGCATTGTAATATTTTGTATTTTTAGTATACGAATCGGCATGGATCTTGGCACAATATTTTGGAAACGTGTGGGTCCTTCTTATTTCAGAACCCTCCCCCCTTAGAACAAAACAGAACAAACAAACAAAAATAACACCAAAAATGCTCCCTCCATCTCTTTTTCATATCTTTCCTAGAGGTTGATGAAACTCCATGATAAACAGAGATTTAACAGTAAAATGCAATTGACCATCTTCTGAAAACCACTTTTCAGCCATAATATACAGTATTGATCTTGAAAAAAGGATTTCAACAAAATTTTCTTGCGGTTCTTATCTGGTCACTGCTACATCCACTCCTCTTATGGGAAGTAAGCTACTATCAAGATCAAATGAATTATTTTTATTCTTCTAATTTCAGGTTGGGAAGTAGATAACTTGGGGCAAAACCATGCAGGTAAGGACCAGTTGTGCTGACTACCTCCTATGTACCTCTGTTCTCAAAGATTTTATGTAGAACACATGATAATATTGGATTATTGAAAAGTTGTTTGTGTATCAGCCATTATGATAATGAATACGTGTAATAATTTGTAATACTCTGATAAAAAGTGAAAGTAAAAATCTGGTAAGTTTCTAGAAATCAATGTGATCTAACTTAAATCCACAAAATTAAACTATTTTACTTAAAACCGATTAATTATTGTTTTTTGTCATTGATGGATGGAAATAATATTTCATGAGTTCTGCGAAAACTGACTATACTTAAATATCTATGGATTATAAATGTAAATTTCTAAAGATACAATATTTGACATCTATATTTTTACAATAAAATTGGTCCTAGTTTGACTGTATGTGTTTTTAGCTATGTGCTCACTGCTTTCAGTAGCAATTTTCTAATTTTATAGGTTCAGCTTTGATTTAAAGTCACAAGTAAAACTGTATTTACTTCCTGAAAAAGAGAGAATCAAGTATTTACTACCTTTGGGCCTGATCCATACAAATAAAAATCAATTGGAATCTACTCACTGATTTCCGCAGAGACCACTTTGGCTCCTAATAGAAAACACAATCAAAACAATTTCATACCAAATTTCCACTTTTATAGGTGATTATGACCTGCTGGAAAGCACAGCCCAGTCTCCCCTAGGTAAGAAACAGAACCATGGAATGTTTCTCTTTTTATTTTAACTCTTTTAAAAAGGAAGCTCCAAGTTTTTTCTCCTGCCATTTAGGTATTATTTTCTAATCAGTTCTCATTATGGTGACACATTTTCTGGTACGATACTTTTAGCAGTATTATGAAAATTTATTCCTCCACCGTTGAGCCTTGCAATCCAGCAAATATGTTGTTATAAATTATATCTACCTGCTTAGCAGTAATTACTAAATGGTGTTAAAGAAAGTCAACACCGTGATTCAGTGGTTATTTTCCACAGAAAATTAGGGATGGATGTGCAAGAGTAATTTACCAAAATTTGCCAGGTAATGCAATGTTCTTAAATGAATGCTGTGATTAAATAGACATATTCTGCTGCATGGATGGCAAACAGATTCTCTAAAAATAAGGTCACTGCTAGTGTTATGAGCTACTTTACTAAACTGCTCTAAGAATGCGAAACAGCGCAGCCTTGATAAAAAAAAAAACCCAACACCCACAACTTGGAAATTTCCGTCAGTTTTGGTCAAGGTACAGCTCCAGCTCCAAGAACTGTAATAGTATGATAAATGGAAACTGTTCTATTGTGCTGGAGAGGAATAAGTGCAGCCCAGCTCTAATTTTTCAACCAGGTTACTGAGCCCTGGCAAGAATAATGGTGCTTAAAAAGAGCACACGGGGGCCATCCCACCTTAGGGCAGCCTCAGGAACAAAGTGAGTGTCAAGAGATACTTTCCTTTTCTACCCCCAGGTCTTGCTTCCCAAAAGAGTTTTAAGCCTTTTGACTGTGTCAGTGAAAGTCATTTAGGAGCTAGTCCTTACATGAGATTAGCCAAACAATTAGGGTAAAAAGAGAGAAAAAGAGAATGAGGTTTTCTCCGAGCCTCCTTACAAACACTTGCTTTAGAGTAAGGTTATAAACTGGATTTGGAACAAATAATAGACAGAGGAATGTGAGAAGCTCTGAAACAGGTTTGGAATTATCAGCTGATGCCACACTGAGCTTCTGGAGATGTAAATGTATATATTGCTATGAAGGCAGAGACAGGGAAGAGATTCCTGCTCCATCTTTCCTTTGTTTTCCTACAGACCCATCTCACAAAGTCACTCTCAGATCAGAGCCTAGGCTTGAAGATAAATGAGTGGGATACATATTATCTGACTATAGGAGAACAACCCAACTGCCTCTCCATAGACATATTATGGCTATTTTAGATATCCTACAGTATCCTGCCTGGCTTCCAGCAGCTGCTCCAAAAAATCATATTAGCCTTGTGTTTTCTTGCCAGTCCCATGCATATCCCTCAGATATAGATCATTTAAACAGCACAAAGTCCCTATATTTAAGTACTGACTTACCCTTTAGCCATCCGAAGTGTAGATATCTACAACAAAGCTGTGTTCCCTAGATGTCTTTCGGAGTCGAAGGAGAGAAATGGACATTTAGCTGGCCCCTGGTTTAGGTATCCTCTGAAGAATGAGATCTTTGGTGGCCTGGAGGCACTGACTACACTGGTTAAATCTTTTTGGCTCTCTGGTGACCAGCTGTAGTAGTAGACATCTGTAGGTGCCTATTGTAGACCTGGGTGATTCAAGATGTCATTAAACTTTCTAGATGCCGTTAAAGTCTTCTATGGTTAGCCAGATAACTAGTACCCCCGGTAGTACTGTGGGGTTTTCTTTGGTCCCGTACCAAGGGGAGGGAGGGTATGTCCTGGGTTTTGCTTCAGCGATGTCACATTCCCAGCTCTACTTGGCGTAGGTGACATCAGCAGAAACTGCACTGAAGATGGCTGGTCTGAACCTTTTCCTCATTATTACGATGCCTGCGGCTTTGATGAAAATGAAACAGAGTCCGATAACCAGGTGGGAATTAATCTTATAATTAAAAACAAATGAAAGGGGGGAGCGGCAGGCTGCTTTTTGTCCAGCCTCTGGTCATGTTCTGATTTGATGGTCATGAGAATGAAACAATTGGGTATTTATGGGCACAAAAATGTGAGATGTGAGATTTAAATCCTTCCTAGCCCTGTATTGAATATTTCAGGAATATGAGAGTTGACTGTTGATACAGCCTGTAACTTCTAGAAGCATGGCTTAGCCCCCAGTTCTTCCCCTACTGACTGAAGAATCCCTTAGCCAACTACGTTTTTTCTACAGATGCATGCACAGTGCTCAAAGAAATACAGACAGCCTTTGCTAGCTCACTGTCGACTAAGCTTCACGGCATGCAGACCCAAGGGCATGCCAGACATAGAGCAATGCTCTAATATACAGTGAGATCTGAGGGGAACCAAGAGGAGAAAACCACCAGGCTGCTCGAGAAACAAATCCTGCCTATGGTTCCCCCTGCATGTTGATAGGGTAAAGAAGATGTGACCGTAAATGAACCATTTAACTGTGTGTTGTTTGCCTCCCAAGGATTACTACTACCTATCTGTGAAGGCTCTGTACACGGTGGGATACAGCACTTCTCTTGTTTCCCTCACCACTGCCATGGTTATCCTGTGTCGTTTCAGGTGAGCTGTGCAGTCACTGAAGGAAAGAAACTGGAGCTCATCTGCCCCCCCCCCAAAAAAATGTTGAAGCTTTTATCTCACCAGATGTAGAATAAGAGGGAGGCAACCCTTTAATAGAATTGTTCCTCCAGCTTAGACACACACCAGTAGTCACATTTCAGTAGGTTGTAAATGCCACTGCAGAAGCTGTGGGTCTATTTTATGCAACTGCAGAAGCTGCATTGGACTGGGTCTATTTTATGCCACCCTGCATGCTTTTACAGGAAAATCTCCAAATCTTCCTCTTGGTCAGGTTTAGGGTCAGTACTGTCCACACTCCTGGCTTTCCGATGTTGCTATTCTTAGCACCAAGGTGCTCTGGCTGTGTGTGCAGATAGGCCTAGTGTACAATTTCCATGAAAGAAAAGTTGTTTTTTTCTTTCTTCTTTTCCTCTCCCTTGCTCTTTCTTCCCTAGGAAGCTTCACTGCACTCGAAATTTTATCCACATGAACCTCTTTGTTTCATTCATCTTACGGGCAATATCTGTATTCATTAAAGATGGGGTTCTTTATGCTGAACAGGATGGCAACCACTGTTTTATCTCAACGGTAAGTAAAACCAAAGCCAAAGCCTTTATTATTTTCAGCATGAGATAACAAAAAATAGTGAGGCAGGCAGCAGTCTGTTGGCTATCAGAGGCTGAGAAACTATTGGGAGAGAAGATAATTGCTGGTAACCTTCTCTCCCAGTTCACACCAAAACTGTGGATGTTACTGTCTCATGACGACATCAGTGTCCAGCGGTCTGTCCTTCAGCATAAACCTACAGGTTTTGATTTCTGACTCTGCTCAGGTTATTTCTCCCTTTCACAGATCTGCATAGCGATAGGTGGGATGAGAGCAGACACAAGCAATTTCCTTCGTCTGAAGGTCTGGTTTTTCTCCAGAGCATTATTTGTTCTGGATGTCAGGCAGAGTTATGTGTAAACAGGGTGACCGTTCAGACATAGAAAGTACCACTGATGGTCACACTCTCAAAAAATCATCAGTATTAGCCACGTGGTTGTCTCTGAAGTGTACGGTTTCATGGAAAGCAGTCTCTTTCACAGATGCAGTTAGCTATATATTACATGTAAATCCCAATTCTTTTCACATTTAAGGCTAGTATTTGGTTTGATAAATCAGCTCACTGGGTGTAATTATGATGGAATTACAGTGAGTTCCCAAACTGACATCTCCTTTATCCTTCCAGTTATGAGCTAAATTCCCTGTGAGTCACTTCCACAAGGAAAGTGCAGCTGTGCAGTTTCTTAGTCAGCCTTTTCTTTGTCATTGAAACTAGTTTTTGCTTTTAATTCTTCTCCGTGATAAAGCTGAAGCCGTGTTAGATCTGTAGTTTGTTCATACCACTCTTCTAATGGTGGCATCTGCCTCTTTGTTTTGAAACACTTGAAGCATAAAACGTGAAGAAACTCAAGTTCTGATGGTTTAAGCAAACCATGTAGTTTGTAGATTTGTCCCAGAGGATGGAGTGCAATTGGGAACCAGTCAAAACTGTCAGCCTCCCACTGCCCCAGGCAGGAGCTTCCAGTTTAAACACTGAATCCACTCTGATGTGTTGAAAAGTCCTACGTTTATGGGCCTAATTATGTCTCACTGGGATACAACTCTGCAAAGACAAGTGTGTCCTACTCTCACAGTCATGATAGACCTCGGTTTCCACCTAAGGCTTTTGGAGTGTTTTTTTTTTTTTCTTTTTTCTTTTGTCCGCTGCTTTTCCCCTCAGTAAATGAAAGAAAGCTCCTATCATTTTTTACAGTAAATCACACCTGCAAATGTCAAGGAAGTACAATTCTCAACTGCACACAGGAGGGTGCATCCCTTCTGATCCCACTCTCAGGGCTTTCTACAATCGTCCTGCCATTTCACGTCCTTCCTTAGGTTTCTTAATACACAACTGGATTCTTTTCTTCTGTGCACTTAATCTTTGGAAGGGGGCTTAAAGCTAGCAATTAACGTTCATTGACGACGTGAGCTCCCACTAACACAAGACGTTCTCAAGCTGTCTGCAGTGGCTCATCGACCACCTCCCACGGGTAAAATTGGCTACCTGCCCTTTCAGGCTTCGCTTTCTGAGTGGCACCTCACATTCTTCTGATGCTTTTAAAACTTTAATATTAAAAGTGTATAACACCAGTCCCAGCTGTGTTCCTTTCCACTAAGAGATTTGGAGAGGTTGAAAGCATTTTCTCTATCTGTTAGGTGGAAACAACATAGAAATAACTTTGCTTTTCTTGATTCCCTGCAGGTGGAATGCAAAGCAGTGATGGTGTTTTTTCACTACTGTGTCATGTCCAACTACTTCTGGCTTTTCATTGAGGGATTGTACCTTTTCACTTTATTGGTAGAAACCTTTTTCCCAGAGAGGAGATATTTCTACTGGTACACTATTATTGGCTGGGGTATGTGACATTTCTTGTCTCAAATGTGTCTCAGTGTGCAAGACAACTCCACGAACCATCAAATATTTCCACACACAGTCTCAAAGTATCGTTTTAGTCTTTGTAGAGAAGTACCACTGGAGACCAAACCGTGTTGTGCTTTTTTGTCTGAATAGAGTTGAACTGAAACCTGGAGGACACCACATCTCTTGCAGAGATGTAGTCCACAACTGAGAATTGCCTTCTACAAGATAAGATCTTAATGCCAAGTTCTTCAGCTTAATCAAACATGCAGTGCCAAGTCTAGTCCATTTTCTAAGACTTCATTTGTGCCTTTCTTCCAGATAATAGCTAAATTGAAAACAAATCTGAAGGGTATCCACATATGCTCATCATACCTGGGTGGGAAATGGAAACTTGCAATGGGAAGCAACAAGATTTGTTTCAGAAAGGCCATTTGTCTGACGATAAGCAGTGTAATTATTTTTCATGCTGGCCTTCTGGAGATAAAATTGATTCCTGCAACATGTTAATTCAAACAGTTCTTCGCTGATGTTTTTGTGCAGAAATGAGCTGGTGAATGGGGAAGAATACATTAATTTTAAATGTACCCTAAGAAGGTTAAGCTCAATTTTTGTACTTAAACAAACATATTTCTGAAATAATCTGGAAATAATCCTGTATATTTATGTGTAAAGTCTACATACAAACCATATGCCCTAAACTACTCTCCTTTGAAAAAAAAATCCTCATGTAACCTGAACCTTCAAACAATCCACAGCTGGTTTTGTTTTTTCTCTCCTGAGGCAGCTGTACATACACACAAAATTTCTCATCTCCTGGCAAAGGAGCAAAGGTATAGAGAAGAAAGAAGAGAACAAGTGATTAGAAATAACCTATGGCATATAAACCTATTGGAAAAGGATGGCTATTGGAAAAAGATGTTCAGAGTTCCCCTTGTACTATCTACAGATGTAGAAGCACATTTTAGCTGAGATATAAGACTGTTTTCAGAGACAACATGGAGGTTATGTACATGCAAATGTGACAATTATAAAAGAAAACAATGTGTAAATTTTTGCAATCTGAATATAAATCAGAGGCTGGGTTCCTTTAATTGTTTGCACAATTTTCATATCTGTAGGTTCATCTGAATGTGAGAATATTGCAAAACACCATATTAACTGAATATTATTTTTTTTTTTAGTAAATCAGTCTCTTTAATGTAAGAACTACCCAGATGGATTGATTCTGTAATGCAACCTCAGAATATTTGTTCTTGAGTTAAATACTATAAATAAGATCTAGCTGTTCAGTGTCAATAATATACATTAATAACACTAAGAGACTCTGCAAAGGTGGATGTTTTGGTTTGGGTTTTTTTAAATACAATATTTTCTTCTGCATATTTCAACTTAAATTAGCACTTTGCAAAAACAGAAGCACTTCCAAACTCTGGGTGGAAGTCATGTAGGGCAAGAGCAGCCCCTCAGCTCAGAGCTGATGGGGAGGGAGTTGCATTGAAGCAGCAATAAGCAAGAGCTCAGCATTTTGCAGCATCTGGATGTTAATCTGTTTCTGAAAATGTGCTGAGCGCATCAGTGTCCTCATTTGATTAATGAGAACTACATATGGCTGTGTCGAACCAGACAATTTTTTCCTCTTAAATATGCAATATGCTGCTAAGTTCTCCAGATAGATAGACTGCTGTCTTCCTGAGATCTCTCCTAATGCCTGCTCCTTACTCAGGGCAGAGACACAGTCAGCAGGAATAGCTCTCTTCTCAGCCTTTGGGGCTTGTCTGTTTTCTGATGTTACTCAGAAGCTGATAAGAAGGTGATGAAGATACATCTCTCTTTTGATGTAAAGAAAAGTAATGTGAGTGTATGTATATTTATACAGCAGATGGTTCAAAACTCCAAGTTGATCTGAAACATGCTTTTTGAACTATATTTTTATGACACATTTAGTCTAATTCTGCCTTCCTGCCCATATTTTAGACTTGGAACACTATTCACACCATCAAAATTTATGTAGTACAAATCAGTGCAAACTAGATAGCACGTGAGACCCATGTTTGATATTTAAAGATTATTTTTATTATTGTGCATCTGTTAAGTGCACAAAGATCTCAATGTTTTCTAGGTATTCTCATGTGAGAAAAGCAGACTACAATTTAAATTAAATATGCATGATTTCTTCTCCCCAAAACCTGTCATTTTATTTCTTTTTATCATTTTCCTTTCAAATGCTTCTGTGTGTGCTTTTTTTAAAGGAGGAGGGCTTCATCAGTCATCTAGGTCTAACAGGGATATTTTTATTTTTGATAGCAGGAATATGAGACTTGACAGAAATTCACCTGAGTGGATTCAGTCGAATGACTAATTAATGTAATATCAACACAGCCTTGCAAAATGCATGAAACATAATTGTTCCTGTCAGCTTATGACAGTCTCGTTCACTGGTGCAAGCTGGGGTTATCAAAGTCCTTGTTCTGTTTGCTTTTTAGCACTTCATCTTTCCAGCGGTGCCTGAATAGATGCAGGCAGTTTCCTAGTCAAAGATTTTATTTGCTATAAAATGTAGACCCAACTCACCCAGCATTGTCTCACAAGACTGCATTATTTTATAAAAATATTTCCACTGAAAACCCACACTTCTATTGTTTTCAGCAAGGAAAATAAATCCAGGCATCTCAGTGGATTCTTACTGTTTTGATTTAATTTGTATTTATTTTCCATGCATTTTTTTAAAGAGTAAAGAAATGCCTGAAACAGAAATGAAATTCTTGTTCCTGGTATGTTCTTTTGGGGGTTTGGGTTTTCTTTTTTTCACGAAAAAGAATGAAATATTCCTGCGAGTAAAGGAAAACTATCCTCTACTGATTTGTTTTGGTTGAATAAGTAAAGCAAAATCAGTTATTTACACAATAACAGAGAAAATGCAATATATGCAAATAATTTACAACATAACCACATAAGAATACAAAGAGTACAATACTGCCATTACAGCTCCACATCTGCCACTCTGCAATTATTACACAATTACAGTAGCTCTAGACATGGAAGCTGATGTCACTGCTTTTGTTTCGTGCAGACTCTGTTTTACTGTTCATGCAACAAGATGCAGTACAACAGCTTTGAGCAATAACAACCTGAAACAACCTCATTCTTTCCTGTTATCACTTTTGCTTCTGCAATCCCACCAAGATTAACCCATCCTCGGACTGAGACATGTTTCTAGAGCTCTGAATTAATGTAATGAATTGCATTGTTTCATGCACGAGTGCTAAGTGGTATTAGGAAATAAAACCTCAGTGGAGAGGTTGCAAAAAGTGCTCATTGCTGGGTGGTAAATGTGTCTAGACTGCTAATGATATCACCATCTTATCTCCTGCAGGTACCCCAACAATTTGTGTCACTGTCTGGGCAGTGCTGAGACTTCACTTTGATGATACGGGGTACGTATTCCTGTGGGGGAAATCATTTCACGTGCATTCAGCACGATGGCAAGGATGAAACAGAAATAGAGTGATCAGAGGACATGACTAATTTCTCCTTCCATTTCTGACATTGACTTGGGTATGCAAGTAGTTTAGGTCCGGTGTTCAACCTGGAGTACTTTCCTGCTCATCTGCATAAATAGCCACAGTTCGATGTTTATGTCCCTATTGCGCTGGTGAATTCATAAAAGAAGATGTAGGCATCTACCCCGTAAACATGCAGCTGACCCAGTGGCCCTCTATTCCCTGCCCAGTTAATCTGGTAGGAGCCCAGGAGATGGTTTATCTCATCTTAAAAGACCTGTCCGTTGAATCACACCTGTGATTGCTCCTTTCCAACTGATTATGAAGGAAGAAGAAGGTGAAGAGCTCAGCCGTAGAAATTATTGCAGATATCTCTGATGCAACGAGTGAAATCTGCACAAGACGTTGCTGAGCTTTGATTTACAAAGGCAATTAGAAGTTTAGCTTCCCCTTGAAGAGTTTTTTCCATAAATCTAATGGAGTAGATGAGTAGGGGTGAGACAGAAATCCACATCCTGTCTTCTGTATGAAAAAAATGAGGAGGTGGAATAATTTTAGAAAGAATTCAAGAGGGTAGATTCCACCCAAGTGGACTCTTTCAGTAGGGAAAAATCCTGCAAATATCCTCTATCTTTTTCTAAGGGACCGAAAGGAGAGGCTGCTCACAGAGATGGTCCTGCACATCTCAGTACTCAATTGATTGACTGGTCTGATAGAGCAGCAGACATAGCTGGTAGGAATGGACCTATATGTACACCCTGAAAATACAAACTTACCAAGGTTTTTTTCATGACAGCTATGTTTGAAATTGGTGAAATGTTAGAAAAATCCTGGGAATGAGGGAGACTGAATAAAATTTGGAAAATATTTGGTTCTTTGAAAACCTTGATCTGAGTGAAAGGCATCATGTTCCCAAGTCCCATTTCTGAGAGATTTAGGCTTAGGTTTTAATTTTACCTTATACTAGAGATAACCTGGATCCAAAATTTGCATGAGACTTACTGTTCTGTGAGGTTTTCTTCCTCCTTGTTCTTTCATGCTCTTTTTTGGAAAGGACATAAAACCCTTCCTCCACTGGGGATGCCAGTGCTTTGACCCAATGTTCTATTTTAACATTAAAACAAATTAAATCATTTATTTCCATGCAAAACAAGCCAGAAAGCCCTGTTGTGTCATTATTATAATTACAACACTGGTCCTAAATACATTAATTTTTCTTAGGAGTCCAAATAGTCCTTGCATTTTGCTGGTAGGGGGAATGTCTCACAGAAGGAAAAAGAAGAAGAAAAAAACCACCTTTCTTTTCTTTTAGTTAGAGAAGCTGTTTAGCATGCAACACATTTAGACAGATTCTAGCTGAGCGCCTCTTTGGTTACTTTTTAAAAATCAGCAAGCATTGTTCTGGGGGTGGGGGAGAAGCCAGCGTGAGCCTGAAAACATTGCAGAAATTACTGAACTGGGAAACTACGGTCGCAAAGGCATAGAATAAAATACAGACTCCAAGTCTGAGTCTCCTCCTGCTTGCTCCTTATAAAACTGGCAGAGCTCCCTCGACTTCAGCTCCTGATTCACATCACTGTAAGTGACAGGTTTGTGGCGATAAATGCAACTGTCTGTTTATCCAGAGCTCTGCTACTGAATGAAATGGAGTTATTCCAGACGTACACCAGAGATGTAACAGAGCTCAGACTCTGGCCTTTTCAAATGGAAATCGCATCCCTCCCCCATCCCACTGGCTCCCTTCCTTTCATCCATCCTGAAAAAGAGTCCTGTGTGTCTGATCCCCACTGTAGCAATGCATTTGAAAGAAATTAGGGAGCCTGTTTACGTAGAACAGCTTGTTGGCTGATACTACAGACTGTTCTGTCGTGCGTTGCTTTTTTTTCCTTCTGGTCATGTTCATCTGAGGAAAAGATGGTGTTTATTCCACTACATCCATCCTATAGGTGTCACAGGGACTTCACCAAAAAAGACCTTGGAAAAAACCTTTGTGTGAGCTTGATCTAATTCGTTGTTGACATCTACAGGGTAGACATTGGCAACTGAGCTTTCTGGGGACACATCCTGCAAAAAGAGAGGAACAGGTCTAAGAAGAATAGGCATTTGTAGGGGATGATGTATTGCCCCAGAATATACATTTAAAAAACATCAGTGCGGAAAAACTCCTACAACACCCTCCAAGTGTCTATTTGTCCCAGCCAGAGTCTGGGATAATTAGCTGGGCTGTAGATGTCTTCAGTATAGATGACTGGAACTAGAGCAGGTAGATTCCATCCCCTGTAATTTCCCATTTCTAAACAGACAAATTGCCATACATCAATGCTTGTTTGTACAGCCAGATTAATATTAGAATTTTCCCAGATTCTTCCAGCAATTGTCAACTCACTGAAGACTTTCAGGGTAGATTTAATGTGCATCTTAGAGAGGTTGACCTCTGCAAATAATGGGTAGATTTCAGAAGAGGGGACCTAATTTATAAATGCATACAAAGAATTAAAAAGATAATTGGTGATTTGAGGTGCTTTTGGTTTTTGGCATACAACAGTCGATAACTGAAAAGAACCTGATTTCCAGGCTGTGGGTGAGAAGGAGTTCCCTCTGAACATTTGTCCTCTTTCAAATATTTTGAGTTGGGCATCCAAAGTGAGGTAATTCAGAAATGTTACTTTGCATTTGAAAATCTCAGCCATCAGTCCATAGATTTTGGGGGATTTTAAGTTTTTAGACTTCATAGACAGAAGCAAAACCAAGTAATTCTATACAAATTTGACATCCCATCTCTAAATATTCTCTCTTCTCACCAGCTCTACCACACACATCATTATTGTTGGTTTTATGGGAATCCAGTAAAATATTGTTCAACTGAAATACAATAAATATTGTTCAAGTGAAAATATAAGTTCAACTGAAATTTCTAAACCAGACATCAGTCAGCTGCTTGGGATTTCTCTCATGGGCAGTTTGATGAGGGAATTTTAATTCTGCCTCCTCACACTTACACATATATATAGTTTTGTTTAAAGATTTTCACTTTCTCCCCAGATGCTACCAGACTACTATATAAATGACACAGAAGTTGCATTAAGCTCTCTTAAGATCAGCAGTGTTTTATTCTTGCATGTTCTTCCAAAGTGTTTCTTGGCATCTGTCAAATGCACCATGACAACCACTGCTGGGACTTTTGGCTGTTGTCCCAGTGGGAGGGAAACCCTCCTTCTCAGAACTGCAGGTACAAAGTAGACATTTTTCTGTGATTTTATATTTTCTAGAGGGAAGCATGTGGGGAAGAAAGCGGAGACAAATGAAAGAAAATTTTTAACTGACAATCAAATTCTTAGTCACTTAAAACAGTGTGGCAGGGTGGGGTGGTGTGACAGAGGAAATAAGGTTTTTTTCATTATTTTTGTTTTTCTAGCTTTAAAAATATAAGTTAACATTAGAACTCCATATGTATATGGCTCCTGTAATTAGCTTTTTCTACAAATGAATGTCCAAATGCACCCATACGGAATAAAGTTCTGCAGAATCCTTGGAAGATTTTAAATGCTGAGGTAGAAATGCCATTTTATTTATGATCACTCACTCCCAACAGCTTAAAAAAGGAGCTGGCCCCAACTGTTATCCAGTACTTGAACCTTTTCAGATGAATCCTTGCTCCCTGATAGGGCTTGCCACCCAATGACTGGAAAATCATTCCTATATGTGAATACAACCAGTCCCTAGTACCTCCTGGTGTACTAGACATGTGTAAGAATCCTCATATCAGGGTCAAGAACCAACACTCATATCTCTTAACCCTGGAAAAGTAACTGAGACATCAAACTGTGGAATAACCATCTCTTATCCTGTGAGGTATCCTTGTCTTTTTTTCCCTTCTACAGAGATGTTAGCTTATAGGGACAACTTTACAGTTGTACTGCAGACACAGAAGCACATAAAGGTATTTTCCAAAATGTCTAAACTGCCTAGTAAGAGGTACCATTGAAATTGCCACAAAAATACTTATTTTACATTCAGGTAAGTTGGGTAAAGGCTGTAAAAGAAAGCTAGAACAGGGATAGGCTAAAGAAGTAGTACCTTTGAACTCAGATAATTTAGCTACAAGACCAATCTCCCACTCTCTGCCCACTTAAAAATTGTTGTAAGTTTATTAACTTCCTTGTTACATCTTTATCTTTCGCTTTCCTCCTCTTTCCCCACCCCATTCTTTCATTAACGACTGCAGCTGCTGGGACATGAATGACAACACTGCCTTGTGGTGGGTGATCAAGGGTCCTGTGGTCGGATCAATCATGGTAAGTAGCACTCGGAGGTGTTTCCTCAACACTTCTGAGGGCAAGTAACTGATGCAAATAGCTTCAAAGGGCTTTACAAACTATGGACTACTGGACAGCTTGACTGGCAGTCCACCATTACCCATCCACAATGTTAATTTTATTGATATAAAGAAGGTTTAGTACGTGTTAAGTGATGTTGCACTGCCTGCAAAGACTATATAGACAAGGAGTTATTCAGTTGCTTAAACACAGATACCAAAGGCCATAAGTAAGACCCTAGAGCATGTGGAGCATTTGCTCGGGGCTGGCAGATATGACACGGGATGTATGGGAATGGTGCTATCTGGGATGGCAGTTGAAGGCCAAGTGGGAAACCCCAGGGCATCTAAAATGATACTAGATGCAAGTGACTGGGAAACTGAGTTGTGCCTGTCAGATGGAATTCATTTCACAGCTGTGTTTATTTTAGCTAATATTAGCTTTATAATAGTATTGTGGACATGGTGCAATATGCTTAATTTTCAATGAGGTATCTATCGTTTGTTTGGTTGGTAGAGGTCTTGGGTTTGACTCAAATGATGCTAGACACCTATGTATGGACAACTGAGAGGTTCTAAAGTATGCTGTTTGGCCTCCAGCTGCTGGCCCGAAAGAATATGGGAATTTTAAAATGGTATTGGGCTCCTCCATTTAGGAAATTAAATTGAGCCTCTAGACAATACGGTTAGTGGCACCTAAAAAGCTGTTTGGCTTACCACATGTAGGTGTCTCATTCTGGGCATGCTAAGTTGCTCTCCATACTCCAGTGACAGCATTGGCCAGATCTTCATTGACTGTTGTGGGAATTTAGACATCCAGTTCACAGGTAGCTGTCTACAATCAGGTTTGGTGTTTGTCTTTTTAAATATTTGGACACCTATCTAACATACAGTAACCTTCAGACACATTAAGGATAACACAGCTAATAACACTGAAGGATACCGAGATGAAGAAGGTCCAATCATCTGGGTATTTTGTGACATTAGTGTATGTGAATTTCTATGCTTTACAGACATATTCTATGAAGGATCACATTTTGGCTTTGGGGAATCAATTTTACCTGGCTTCTGCTGATGGCATTAAACATTCAAGCAACCTAGCAAGGGATGACTCCACTTATTTGTAGTCCTCATATCAGATAGAAAATTCTTCTGAAAGAGATGATTACAACTAGTTTAAGTTCTTGGTCTCCTTACAGGAGTACAAGGTTGCGTAAGAGACCAACTTAAATTTCCCACTGTTTTCTCCTGGCATTAAGAAGCTGTGGAGTTGGTGACAGCCAAATCTGAAGCCAAAGCATTAAAATAAACTGATTTAATTAATCTCCAAATTTTTAAAACTATATCTGTAATTACATGACTCTATGAAAGAGAAAATGCCCAGGATGACATAAAACTAAAAGACATGAACATTAACATCCCCCCGCCTCCACGCACACACCCCTCCCCTCCCCAAACCATCTCATTTTGGGGCAGATTCAGCCAAGCAGAGGGAAAGTAAGAAGTGACACAACTTGGGATTTTCAGGAAAGGGGAGACACTCAACTGTGAGTGCAGGAAATGCTGATGGATGCCGTTAAACTGAGAGGTGCCTTAGTTTAGAGAATAGTAGTTAAAGATGCTTTTATTGGTGAGATCTTTGCTGTATGGTTTTGATGTGCACAGGTCGTTTTTTTCTTTGCACTAACAATAGGGCAATGGAGCCAGCAAGTCACTGGGAATGTGTCATTCTCATACTTGAAAAAAATATATCATTGTCATAATTTTTTTCTTTTTCCCCTAGATAAACTTTGTGCTTTTTATTGGCATAATTGTGATACTTGTGCAGAAACTCCAGTCACCTGATATCGGGGGCAATGAATCCAGCATTTACTTGTAAGTATAAATAAAGCAGTAATCAATTTAGATTTCTAATATACACATAGGAAAAAAGACAAAGTCAAAAAGATACCTCAGCTGAATTAATCTGATTTTCAAAAAGAGTCACAGGTTCTATTAAATTGCTTCAGTTGATTCTGACTGTTTTGGTTTTTTTAATCCAAAAGCCACTAAACTGCATTTTAATGCCAGCTTTCCCCTTTTTTTAAAAACCTAGGGAAAAAAAAACAAAAAAAAAACTTAAAAAAAAAAAAAAAAAAAAAAAAACCAAAAAAAACCCAAACCCCCCAAAAACCCAAAAAACTTCTTTACAGGTCAGTTATTTGGAAATTAACATATTGACCAGGCATAAATATTATTATACTCATGGGACAGTCTGCTGTGCTTCATATGTTCCAGGGACATGGTCCAAAGCTCACTGAAAGCAGTGAGGATTTGTGAAAAGATTTCATTAACTTTGGACCGAATTCTAATTTAGGAAGATTTCCTAAAGTTGCTTATGTTCATGTTTCTTGTAACCTTGAATGCATTCCACTTGAGCCAAACAATTCCCCCACACAGGTAGAGTTGCTTAAAAATGCACAAAACATCCTAAAATTTTCCTTTAGAAGTTTTAAAACTTTATTTGTGATTTGTATTTTTTTAAAGATGACACACTTTTTGTTAGTTTCCACCTCATTAGAGGACAGCGATTAGCCATTTCAGAGGTCCTCACCCCTGTATTGAGTGCATGCAGTCATTCTCCATATAAAACTTGAATAATCATTTTGAATAACTAGGATATGTGGTGTTTTCTTGGCTTTTCAGCCTAAACACCATGCACGTTTGTTTTGCAATTTTTTCTGACCTCTAGTGATTTCTAGCACTCTTAAACTTAGCTAAGACTATTTGATTTAGCACTGGATTCCTAGTGAAAAAAGGCAAGTCATGCAAACCTTAAATAAAAATAAAAGATGTCAGGGTAAAGTAGGAGGTCCTTATTTTGTAGTACTTTTTAAAAAAATTATCCAGGGATCAGTTTCACTCTAAGTAACCACATTCATAGTATAATGATGTCATCCATCTAAACGACAATTTTCAGGGAAAAATATGTCCTCCAGCTGCTTATTTTTCTTCCCTTCTTTCCTATTGTCTTGTTCACATTTACATGAAATGATAATATTTTATGCATCACTTTTTCATCTCTGTAGTGAAACATCTGCTTACTGAAAGTACTGCCCTGGAACTTTGCTCTAAACTGTGTTTCCACAGACAAAAATAATGCTTTAAATTCATTCTGCAGGTGGATGTTTCTCAGAATTAAAACTCAGGAGAAAGTGTAGTGAACAGATTAACTGTCTGCATGGTTTGCCTAAGGTTGCATGAAGACTTCCCATGTCTGTGCTGCTGGGAAGTCGTTCACGGAATCTTAGATTGTAATTAGCACCCAAGATGTGCAGAGCTAGTTCTGATTATGACCTGCTAAGTGCATGTTTGTTGTCCGCTGCACATCTCTCCCATATGAAGCAAAGCATGCCATAGAATCCAGAGATTTAACTAGATTATAAAACATCCTTGTCATTTTTGATCAATATGGTGACTGGGTTTTACTGATATTTTTCCTATGTGTATAGTTAGCCACCAAAACCAAGAGAAAACATCATATTTTCTGTTTCATTCGCTGCCATTATTTTTCATATTTTTTTGCAACTTTATAAATGGGTGTGTACAAATTGATCTTGCATTTATGTATGTGTTATGAAGTGGAGTGTTGTTTATCCAAACAGATTCGACAACAGAAAAGTCACACAGAAGTCATATAAAGAAATGAAATTAATAAGTCTATGCAGATATAGACCAGACATACTCAAGATTTGAGCACACATATCCTGTAAAAAAAAGAGCTGTTGTAACGAAGGAAAAGGATAGATCATAGTATGGTTATGTCACCATATTGAAATCTCTGTGGCATTTAGACTGTGGTCCATATTAAGCATTTTCCACGTCCTATTTTGCTGTTTCAAACTATTACACGCCATTCCATTAGACCAAATTCTCCATCTAGATCTTTATTCCACTATATATTCAAGTACTTTGTCTTTAGTACATGAGACAGATGAGTTGTGGTTGAAGAAGGATGTTCAGCCTGTTTCTGAAGGTAATATCAGGTGGCATCTGCAGCAGAGACTGAGATTTATTCTAGTGTCAGTCTTTCAGTTTTTGGAATAACTCTTTAGCCAGGACTTCCATCATCAAAAAAGAAAATAAAAGACCCCACAAAAACTCGGTTATTGACTTTAAGTAGGATTTATTTTCTTCTTATATAAAAGGTATATGTTTACATTCAGGCCCTTTTAATGATTATTTTTCTTAGGAAAATCCACCTCCAGTTCTATTTTATAGACACTATGGTCATGGCTCTGCAAATCAGTTAAGCCTGTATCTGACTTTAAAAGCCTTGGGGATGTGCTTAAATTCAAAGATTAATTATATATTGTTACCACTTTGCATTCATTATTAAAAATTCCCACTACTGAAGCTAGCTGCGAGCTATGACAGGAGCACAACAGAAGAATGCACTACTGGGGAACTAATGCTTAATTAATGTAGTGTAGCCACTAGAGAATGTAAGACTTGCTTTAAAAAAATCAAACAATAATTTGTATAATTTGCATAATTTGCAGCACAATAACGAGTGCTTTACTCCCATAAAAAATCAGACTTTCTCTCTAAATAACCTGATGATCGTTATATGCAATAGCCTTTGCCTTTAGGCTGACAAAAACTTGGAAACACATAGCTAATTCCTAACAATTTTCTGCAGCAGTCAAATGCTTTAGTGATTATAAACTCGCATTTTATCAACTTGTTTGTTCAGTCATTCATTACCAGTCTCATGCCTAATCGGTCTTTCTTCACATATTTAGTTCCCCCTCAAAGCTGCCTGCACGCTGCTGATCCCTTTTCAGACTGAACTGCTCAAAATATGTTAGATTCTGAGAGAACAATAATAACTCCATCTTCTTTTTACTGATGTTTTAGATAGAAACTTCTCCTTATGGCTGAAATGACTGGGGGCTAGATTAATAAAAAATATCTAATCAGCTGAGGTAGGAATTAAAAAGGAAATAGAAGCCACATTTTTTAATGTTCATTTTAATTTTATGTTTCTTTCTGTTTTTTTTTTTTTCTGAGAACCTTAAGCACCTTTCATACTTCCTCCCAATAGTCATCATAATCATTATTTAATTTTAAGTGTTAGAAGTGAACTGCCAAAGGCATAAAAAAGACATAACGCTGTTTCTTGAACCATGTCAGCCCTGAATATTTCCACCAAATTAAGCATCAAACCAAAGCAAGACCAGTAATGCAAAGGCAATAGATTTTTATCTGAATGAGAAGCTCTGGTGCTGGGGAAGCATAAAGTGATATTGATTATATTCCTAGTGTAATTGAGACAACTATCTGCATAGTTTGGACAGGTTTCTTGCCCCATCTGGTGAATGAATTGCATAAATAATTGTAATGTGCTGTGGTCATGGACATGACATGCTTAATCCCATAGTACAAATAACAGTTTCTTGTATTTGTACCTGTTTATTCCATCCAGTTAGATTTTACTTAACATGCTTCTAAACAGAAAACAGCCTGATTTTTAGCAATCTCCAGTTGCACAGTTTGTAAATATTTTGAAGTAGTAGATTATTTAGGGACACTGTTACAGCGTATGCTGAAAGCCAAGTAGCACCACGTCAGAAGTCCACGAATCCAATGTGCACTCACAGTTTTGGGGGCTGGAAACACATATTCACAACCCTACTATGGCTGGTTCATCACACAGTGTGCCGCATCAGGCCCACATTATTTGCATGGATTTTCATATATCAGTTCCTTGGCTGGAATTTTAGGAAACAGGTAATAAATTCATGCAGTAAGGTTTCACTGTTTTTCCTGTGAAAAATCCAGCCAATAATGTGTAACATCACATGTCAGAATCTGCTTTCAGGCATCCTGGTTTTGGTCAAGTTGTTGTAGAGAGAGGACATTCACCCCCCAAAAAGCCATATTCTTATAGAAATACCTACACAAAGCTTAAATCCACGCTATTATTTTCATGAGCGTTTTTGCGTTGCTGAAAGATTCATTGTAGACAGAAGGTCATCTAACAGTATCACCACCATAAACCACTACAGTATTGAAGTAGGTATGCATGATGTAGATGCATGCTGGAATAACCCTTAAGGTTAAAAAGGCCCACACATTTCCATCAAGTCTTTGCTTACTCATTCGTTTTCAAGGATCAAACACATTTAACTGAAAAATATTCTTTTTTTTTATTATTATTTCCAGTTTATCATGAATAGTATAATTTGGGAGGGGGAAGCTTGTTTCTGCTTTTGCTTTAACAGATTCTTCATAAATTTTGTATCACATGTTGAAAACTCATTGAAAAGAAAATAAACCCCACATATATCTAGCTAATTCAGGTCTACGTCATTCCTCCAATCAGCATCTTGCTGGAAAGAAAGGAGAAACATGGCATATATCATAGGTAGGTATGATTTTACATATGGTGCAACCTAGAGGGTTAGGGCAGGAAAAGCAATGTTGTAACGCAAATGTTTTGGTAAACAACACTCCTCTACAGTTCACCTACAAAGTCACTGGACACTCAATGATTCATTCTGCTACCGCTTTGTCTTGCTGCAAGTGCTTAGACTGCCAGTATTAATAATTATTGACAGGGTCTTCATGCCAAAGTCTCGTTTTGACATGAAAATGGCAGATGTTTGATGAACAGTATATTCTTTAGTATGGCACTTTAATTTCTTAGCCCCAGGTACTCCCAGTTGAGTGCTGGAATGTCCACTAACCCAGCAACGAAAGGAGCTTGTGTCCCTGGGCTAATCCTTTTCTACCACAAGAAAATACCATGGAAAACATAGATGATGATCATTTGGTGTCAGTGCATGATCAGCAAGGACCTAGTTCTCATTTCTAAGAAATGCTAGGAGAGT